CTTGGGCAAGAAGAGAAAGGAAGGAATCAAATATCATTCCTAGGATTCTTGGAGTAGCTAAGAAAATAGCAAGGCCATTAGGTGAGACTGAGATTTGTGGGTAGTATTAACAATCCATTTGGACTTATAAATTTTACCTTATCTATGAGACACCTAAGTGGAAACGTCAGGTAGGCAGATGGATCTGCAAGAATGAAGTTCTGATGAGGGATCAGGGCAGAAGGTATGTTTGCTAGTCTTTAATATCAGGACCAAATTTATTTGGTATTTGAATCCATAGGAATAAATGAAATCCAACTAGGGAGAAAAATCAGGAAAGGGGAAAGGGTCCCTAAGAGCTCCCCAGAAAATAATCATTTAGAGGATTATTTGAGAGGGGGAAGCAGGCAAGAGAGTCTGAGTTTGGGGGAGGGGGACTGCTGAAATAGAAGAAACCAGGGGCATGAGCAGCATTGGAAGAGGAGAATTCTTCAAGAAGGAGTGGCCAAGTGGATTAGACACTGCTAAAAACACATTAGATAAGAATAGAGAAATGTCCACTAGATTTAGCAACATGAAAATCACTTTTTACTTTGACGTTGACAAGAGTAATTTCAGCGAATTGGTGGTCATGGTGGAAGCCCAACTATAATGGCTCAGGCAGGAGATGAGAAATGTGAAAGAAATTTCTATAATAGCTGCATAGACAACTGTTGAGGTTTGACTGAGAAAAGATGCAAAGAGACTCCTCAGCCCAAAAGGTCAAGGAGTTGGTTCAAGTCCTTGCTTTTTTGCTCAGAGAGACTAGAAAATGTTTGTGTGCAGCTGAGATGATCTGATTGAAAGGAAAACATGACTAAAGCAGAAAGAAAAGAACATAATCAAAGAAGCAAAGTTCTTAATAATAGGTGAGAGGGCATCGGATCCAGAGCACACAGGGAAGGGCTGACCTTTAATGAGATGGTAGCCAGTCTGGTCATGTGATGTCTCACAGCTGACCCCCTCCCACGGGTTCCCAAATCAATAAAACTCTTGTTATCTTGAGCAAATCAATCTCTCTACATCTCAGCATCCTTACCTACAAAATGAAAGGCCTGAACAGCAAGATTTCTGAGATATCCTCTAGCTCTAACTGTGATAGTCTAAGAAACCACAGGTAGCATGTCCATTTGCTCAGGCACATCAGTCTGTCATTACCCCCAATGTTGATTTGACTTAAAACATATCTTAAACCAGTGTTGTCCAACCTTTTTCATGCCAAGGCCATGTAGAAAATGATAACATGCTTTATGGCATCACGGGGAAAATGGAAGGTATTTGGGGTTCTGCTGAGGCTGCCCATGGCCTGGGGTGGCCAGCTAGGAAATCTCAAATCACAGCAATACCATACTTTTGACTTAGTCTGTGACAAGAAGAAAGTATCAGTTAGGGCTCTCTCAGGTACAGAGAATAAAAAAACAAGCTAAGCTAACATAAGCAAAAATATAGAGAATTCATTTTAATAATACAAGGGTAACTTAACTCAAGGAACCCCAGGACCAGAATACAGCCTAGTCTGAGGACAGACTGGAACCAAGAAATGGCAAGCCATCAACAACATGGGCTCCTCCCAGGCACCCCTCACGGCAGCTTCTCCCTGCAGCCTGCTGCACTCTTCTTTCTGGCCATACTAGTACTCTCTGATACTCCATATACATGGCATGTTGTCATCCCTCCCAAGTTCAGAGACTCTTTCTCTCTGTCCTAATTCCAGATTCCTAGGAGGAGACTTCAGTCCAACTTGAGTCACAGGTGCATGTCTAGTCTAAACAACTGAGGCCAGAGGAGCTACTTCGCATAAAATGACTGCCAGAAAGACACTGTACACTGAGCACACACACCTAAGAGATATTGCTATATTCAACATGACTCTTTCAGTCATCTTGATCATATTATATCCCCTTGATTCTGATACATCCGCCATTGTATAAAGAAAAAAAAAGGAAAAAAGCACCATTTTATTGACAATTCTTCCAGAAAAAGCAAAATACCATATTAATTATATATTTTTAAGAGCCTATAGGCCGGGCACAATGGCTCACCCCTGTAATCCCATTAATTTGGGAGGCTGAGGTGGGCGGATCATGCGGCCAAGAGCTCAAGACCATCCTGGCCAACATGGTGAAACTCCATTCTCCACTAAAAATACAAAATAGCTGGGCGTGGTGGCATGCACCTGTAGTCCCAGCTACTCAGGAGTCTGAGACAGGAGAATCGCTTGAACCCAGGAGACAGAGGTGGCAATAAGCTGAGATCACGCCACTGCACTCCAGCCAGGCAACAGAGCAAGACTCCATCTAAAAAAAAAAAAACACACACACAACTATAAAAGTTTATTCATACCATTACATACCACTTCCTTCACCTATATCAATATGACCATTTGGTTCTAAGCTTCTTTTACAAAGTATAAAAATAATTCAGAGTCACTTCTAGATCATAATGATATTCTGATTTTTATTACCAATGCCTATTGTCTTGACAGATGCAGCAATTTGGGGATTGGTCATATAATTTAATAGCACATTAAAGAATCTGCTATTTTCTCTGTTTCCTCTTCTTATTGAATTTTCTTTTTTTTTTTTCCCCCGTGGATTACATATCGCTGGACTTTAAACTGCTTTTCTTGAAAGTCAGCTAGTAGCTTTTATCTGATATTCTGAGCTTCAGTGATAGAACTTCAAAAAACTGATTATACTCACCTCTTTCTTATAGCTTTGAAAATTCAGTGATGTATTCTGAGAACTTTGGCATTCTCTGATGTTTTTAATTGCATTGCCTGCTGTGGGGTAGACAGTCTTCTGTATTCACAGTAATTCTGTTTCAGTGCTGCACTATGGTGGAAACGTGTTTGAAAATGTTTTTGTTGCTGTTTTACAATGACACTTCTAAATTTAATTTAGATAGTGTGCACCCGCAGTACTACCCGTGATACTAAATCAAATGAAGTGAACACTTCCCTTCTGTGCCTGGTAAAGTTGCCACATGCACACAAGCAAGCAAAGACGATTTGTTAGATTCCCTGGCTAGCAACTGGAGAGTCTCTTTTGAAAGCTTTTAAGACTCATCCTGATTTCCAGCATATCAAGATATGGAAAATGTGCATCTTGCAATCAAGCAAATATGTAGCCTTCTTTTTTTGAGAAGTAATACATGCCACACTTTTTTTTTTAACTAACTGTGTCACATGGTTTAATTCATTTAATTCTCAAAACAATCTGACAAAATGGTTCTTATACCCATTTTGTAAATGAGGAAACTGAGGTTGTAAGATTAAGTAATTTTTCTAAGACCAACAAGCTAGTGAGTAATAGAGCCAGGATATGAGCCCATCCTATCTGATGCCAGGTCCCATGTGTTTGTTTAATCAGTATATCTAAATACATCTTAATTAATTGTATCATAGATGGTCATTAAGATTAATTAATAAGATAAACTATAAAGTTAGTAACATAAGTTAATATGCTTTGCTGGCATTCAATTAGCTGAGCTAGGGCTGTTTTTCCAGGAAATGTGGACAAGCCTACCAAAGTAACTACTACACATGTCAATATCATTCCTGGCACAACTTGGGTAAATTGGCATTCACATGTACTTTGTTTTTGCTTCTTTAAATTCATGGAAGCATTTCTAAGAATTGTAATCATAAGTGGAAAAACAGATTGCAGTAAGGGTTTATGAGGAGCCCAGTTCCTTTCCTCAGGTCTGAAGTGACACTGGCCTCTCCTAAACCAATTCACCAAAGCAGAGCACTGCTGAGCCACTGCCTGAGCTGTTACAGGACAGCATTACCCTCTCCATTGCTTTTGTAGGAAAGGGGACAGAGCAAAAGGATATAAAACGTGTCTGATTACTTAAGATCCCTAGTCCTTTTACTTTAGGATTCTGCCTCTAGGAATGGTACCAGGAAGTGGTGTTTGGGGCACCAAGGTGTAGTCTCAAAAAGCATTAGGAGATAACTCCAAGTGCTATAGCTTTCCTTAGGAACATTAGTATTCCCCATGAGCTTATTTCTTCTTATTTGTCAGGAAACAGTGATGTTTTCTCATCCTAACATGGCATGATTTAGTGAGCAAGGCCTTATTCTAGTGTAGGAGTTAAAACTATGCCACCACAAAATATGCTGCTCTAGCATATTGACGATCCTGAAATAAAGGCACTTAAAAAAATAGCAAGTACAGGAAGATCACTCTAATCTTCATTCTATTTCTTAAAAGCAAAAGAGAAAATCCCATGTGAAGGAGATCCTCCCTATACCAGAAAGAAAGCAACAGTCTTGATCATCAAGGACAGAAAGTTGAAGCCTAGGAAAATTTGTACAGGTATTGATCGACTTATGACCTATGCAACTTACGACCATTCGACTTTACGACCAAAATCGCTAGCCACGACTGCGCCGCGTCTGGCAGCGCAAACGTTGCCCAGCTGGGCATATGACAGAGCAAACCAGCTTCCAGCAGCACTACCATCTCTGCGTGCATATAGCCTACTCAACTTACGACCAAATCGTGTTACGACCAGTCTGTCGGAACCAATCGTGGTCGTAAGTAGAGCACTAGCTGTATAAGCAAATCTTGTTAAACTAACTTACTTTCCCAGTCACTTCTGTACCAGTTAGCTACGTGAGCCCAAGCCCCTTTGCTTATCACATTTTCACAACTTGCTTTACTTTGTCCAATTCAGTATGTAAGTGATGGACTCTTAACTGCTTCTTTGAGTCTTCATTTTCTTTTGGAGGGCTCCTGTGCCACATAAAGCTTGTATTAAATAAATTTGTATACTTTTCATCTATTAATCTAGCTTATGTCAACTTAATTCTTGGGCCTAGCCAGACCCTAAGAGGATGGGAGTGGAAATTTGCCTCCCCAACACTGCCCACAGCCAAGGCCAGATAGAAGACGGCATCCCAGACCCACACATCACCAGCCATTCTTCACTGTGGTTCAGAATTGCCCCTTCACCAACCATGCAGAATAGCAAACCTCTTACCTCATGAGTCACACTAAATAAATAAAGCTCGCAATTAATGTTGTAATTATAGCTGAAGGAATAATTTACAACCCAAGTGTGGTAACTCACCCAGGGTACCAAAAGGCTCATAGTATTTACTTCCCTGTTTCTGGGGAGCCCAGCCTGCAAAGCCTTGTTGACTTTCCAAAAGCTGTGCTTGGGTTTTTTTAAAATAGATCATGTAATGAACTCAAGAAGAAGCCCTTATGATTGTTTAGAGAACTAGAAGACACAAAAACCTTTATATGTGGGTTTTCAATGTGTTTGCCTGTTTTCTCGTTTACTTACAGACCCAGAGACTGCTCAAATTCACCATCTTCATGCTCATCTCTCTGTTGACTTATTTCCATTTCCCTGGTGCTAGTCAGGCTAATCTGCGTGGCTTGTACGTTGAAACCAGCTGCCCTCTAGTTGACTTATTCTGTTCTTTCATTCATTTTTTTTCATTCATTTTTGCTATAAACATTTATTAAGTCCTTATCACAGCCTAGGTCCTGCTAAGTATGGTTATCTGTGTTACTAACTCACTGGGAACATTGAAATCACTTCAAACAGACCTTAGTTTTTTATTTAACAATAAAGAGAAAATTCAGTTCTATTTTTCCCCAGAATCCCAGTTGACTTTTGACTTCCTCTTAGAGCTTCCTCAGAATGGAGTCTAGCTCTGCCCCCTCCTTATGTCATCATCCCTGCTGTTCAAGGGGAACTCAACAGTTGGAGGATTGTGGATTTTGGCATTGGTCAAATATGAGCCACATTTATCCCACTTACCAGATGTGAGGCCAGAAACACATTTTATAAATTCTTCAAGCTTCCATTTACTCATTTACCAAATAGGACACTCACATCTATTTGCTCAAAGGATCAAACAAGTTACTATAAGTAGGCAAAGAAGCAGTCAATAAATGTTACTTCTCCAATGAATATCTCTTTCTTATTTGCATGTGCTCCTTATTTTTCTGTTATATAATCATTCACTGTAATTTAGTGAGCACCTATTTTACACGGTAGGCTGTGAGGACACAGTGGAAAACAAACTGTCAGGGAAGAAGCACATCCTATGGAGTTGTCTGGAACAGATAAACTCTACACAAACAAATATAAAGAGAGCACAACATTTTTCTACTTTTAAAATAGAGCAGAAAATGACAATTTCTAAATAAGAAGGGCTTAGAGGCCATCTGGATGGAATGGAGACTTGTATTAAGGCTATATTTGCAAAGTAAGCTAACTTTTTACTAAGAATCTATGTACAGGGGAGAGGTGGGCTCTTTTGGTAGAGAATACCTCCTTCTGCCTAGACCTCAATAGTCCATGCCTCTGCAGACCTTTTCCTTTGCACTGCTGAGTTTTAGCCTGTCCTGACTGATGAGTCAGGAGAAAGGAAGGTTCCACCACTTCCCACATCCCCATCCAGAGTCTCCAGCTCTCCTTCTATACTGACTCCCAGGAAGACAACTAGTTTGCTTGGTGATAAGATTCTCCACCTGGCTGTTGATGACAGACCCCTAAAGCAACTTCCTTCAACTGCTTAGCATTCAAGTCTACCTTCTACTCACATTTTTATTGCTTATTCTGCCACCCATTTCTTCATTTAGCATTGATGACAAACACTTTTTCTTTATTATTTCCTTTATGTTGAATTTTCTAATTTGCAAATGAATTAACTTTATGAGTATCTAATGTCTGTCTATTGGTTTTTTTACGCCACCAAATACATTTCACATGCATTATCTCATTAAACTCTTATGACAACACTGAGATGCAGGTATCATTACTCCTCCTATTTTGAAAATTTAAATATATATATATTAATATATATGGCTGCTGTGCTGTGTTAAAAAAATAAAAATTCTAAATAAATAAATAACAAATCTTAGAATTATTAATATGTAGGAATGGTTCTCAACTCCAAATGCTCATTACCTCAATACTGAAGAATTACCACAAATACTCTACAAACCATTTCACAAATTTAATAAGATATAAAAACAATACATGCAATTGCCTGACTGATACTTGCACTAGAATTGCCTTTATTTTTCTTTTGTTAGAAACTTGATTCTAAGCCCTTGGACATCTGCTATTCTGCAGGGAACAGTTGAGTATAAATTTTGAAAAGCAATATCTCAATTAATTTATCTTTTTCAAGGGGCCATTTAGTCATACATCTTCTTAAGCATGGGTAGGTCAGAGGACTTTGTAAAAGTAATAGAGAACAATTATAACCATATACATCAGTTATCCATGTCTACATTGCATTTATTTACTGACGAAGCCTTTTTTCCTTACTGTCAGCATTATATCTTTAGTATAGCTTTAGAAGAGAATTGTAGTCTCCTCTGACTCATGTATCACTAATAAAATTACTAGCAAAGATCCAATTCTCAATTACAAACACAAAATAGTGCTACATTTTAGCATACAGCAAGCCCATCTATCTTAACAACTATTCTCCAGCACTGATGTATTTCATCTGGACAAGTCAAGTTATTGGAAGACCTTGCAAGTTCCCTTAACATATTATTAGCTGATATTGTTCTCTTAGATCTTCAGTTTGTGCCTCTTGTCATAAAATCAATAGTAACCAGTTTTAAAGCAGATTTTTTTAAAGGATATGTAACTTTGAAATTGGCACCTCACTACAAAGGTGAGAAGACCTTAGCAAATTTGGCCAAGAAAATTACCAAAATTTCATCAGTCAGGTTTCCTGTGACAATAACCTACAACTTTACTCTCTCCCACTCTAGTAAACATCCAACAGTATAGCATATCTAAAACAACACAATATAAATGCCTGTCTTAGTCTTCTCAGGGCTCTATAACAGAATTCTACAGACTGGGTGGCTTAAACAACAGGCATTTATGTCTTACAGTTCTGGAGGTTGGAAGTCTGTGATCAGGGTGCCGGCAAGGTCAAGTTCTAGTGAGGACTCTCTTCCTGCCCTACAGACGATGCTTCTTGCTATGTTTTCACATGAAAGAGAAGGAGCAAGAGAGAGATAGAAAGAGAGAGAGAGAGAGAGAGAGAGAGAGAATGCAAGCTCTCTGGGCTCCTCTTATAAGGGCACTAATCCCATCATGAGGACCATACCCTCACAACTTCATCTAAACCCAATTACCTCCCAAAGACTATTACTTTCATCTCAAATACCATTACTTCCAAGCTAGGATTTCAGCATATGAATTTGTAAGGAACACAAGCATTCAGTCCATAATAATGCCCTTATAAACTATGCTGTAATCTGTCTAAAAGGCTTTAAATTACTGGCAATATTACTGGCTTGTGTACAACCTTAAAAATACCTGAATATCACTTTGCTAGTCACAGTATCAACAAAAAGCCACAGTAAGATTAGAGAGAAAGGGTAAAAGAAGAAAATGTGTTAGAATAATTTTTAAAATAGACCAAGTATAAGTCCAGGGACCTGGAATCTTATAAAAACTGTGCCACAAATTCTGTACTCTGAAACTTGGGCTGCGTCTTCCAACCAGAAAAATGAGTGAAGCAGGATGACCTCCAAAGTATCACTAATTTTAATAAATAAGATTCTATGATTGTCTGAATAATGTGTATCCTGAGATTACTAAGAAAACATACCATGAACATGATTGAGAAAAACTTTACAAAGAATTGACTGCAGCCAAGCACCAGTGACTCACACCTGTAATCCCAGCACTTTGGGAAGCTGAGGCAAGCAGATCACTTGAGGCCAGGAGTTCAAGACCAGCCTGGCCAACATGCCAAAAACCTGCCTGTACTAAAAATACAAAAATTAGCCAGGCATGGTGGCACACACCTGTAATCCCAGCTACTCAGGAGGCTGAAGCAGGAGAATCACTTGAAACCAGGAGGCAGTGGTTGAGGTGAGCCAAGATCACACCACTATACTCCAGCCTGGTGACAGAGTGTGACATCATCTCAAAAAATAGAATTGAGTGTGAACAAAGCAGATAAGTGATATAGTCTTCTTACTAGTCTTTTTATTTCTAAAGGGAAGGATTGAAGTGAGAACAAAACTTTTCCATTTGGAAAAAATTAACTTTTTAACCTATGAAATAAGAATATATAATCTGTAATAAAAATAATGCTTGCCATTTGTTGGGTGCCTACGCTATGCTAGGCACTTTATGGACGTAGTTCATGTAATTCATAAACAACTCTGCAAAGCGGACCTCATCATTTTCTTCCCTGTGTTCCAATCACACAGGCCTTCTACCAGAGCCTCAGATGCACCAAGCTCACCCCCACATCTCCTGACTCATGCATTTGGCTTCCTCTCCTTATTTGGGACTCAGCTCAAATGCCACATATCCTCTTTTCCCTGATTTCCCTGGCTAATGTACCAACTCTGCATGTACCCCCAGTCACTTTCTATCCCATTGCCCTCTATTCTTCACACCACAAATCACTATGTGAAATTACTTGGTTTGCATGCATATTTTTCTCTCTCTCCATTCCCCAATTCCTCTGCAATGTAAGCTCCATGAAGGCAGGTACTTAGACTATACACAACTATGTTCCCAGCACTTGAAACAGTGCCTGCTTAGCTAATATTTGTTGAATGAATGAATGTCATCCCCACTTTACAAATACAAAAACCAAGGCCCAGAGAGGTTTGATGACTTATCCAAAGCTAAATACTATACCCATTTAGCCAGGATTCAAGTCCAAGGTTGCCTAGCCCCAACATACATATTTTTTCCAGTGTTTCTTAAATCTACAGAGTAGAAGGCTGTAAGCATTGTTTTCAGTTTTTGTTTCTATGATAATCTAAAATAGAAAAGCAGGCATGTTTAAATGATATAAATCACCTTATCACCTTATAAATGAATACTGCTGCAAGATTTTATGGCTTGCATTTGCATTTAAAGTTTGTAAATAGTTTAACACTGTCTAAGCAAATACATCAATGAGCCTTTTTCTCAGGTAAAGACTAAATGATGTCATGACATGTCGTAGGAAACAAAAGTTTTAT